ATAATGGCATAAAAAATTAAGAAAATTGATTTATAAATATTCAACTAAGTAACTTGTGTAAAATATAACGTGCCACCAATTCAGAGTCATCTTCACTATTTTCGAGTTGAAACACTTTAACACTTTTTGGTGTAAATTTATTATTATCAACAAACGCGTTTTTGCTTTCAGTATAAGAGTTTGGAAAACATCGACTTCCATCTTTGCCTTTTTTATAAACAGCTATGTCACACTTTTGTCCTCCAAACGCAAACAAGTAATCTCCACGACTTCCACACAAAGTGAATGCATCTTTGCTTTCATCAGATTTTAACTCGAACTTCTTTGGATTGAATTTTCCCTTTCTTATCAATGAAAAAATGAATGCGTCAGTATCTTCAATATATTCGTTCGTTCTATCAACTTTTTCAGTGAACACCCCACCAAATTTATTGTTATTGTTGTCTTCCACTAAAAAGAGGAGGTTTTTCTTCCCCATCACTTTGTCATCAAATTCGGAAGACCCCTGTGCCCAGTCGTCTTTCTCTGAGTCAAAAACAAGTGATTTTATTTTACTATTAGAAAACTTTTCAAGCGCCTCTTTTTCTTCATGAGAAATACCATTACTTTTCAGTTTTAAGTCATCTTTATACTTCTCTCGTATTTTTATATACTCTTTGATGTCTTTATCTTTGGCTTCTTCAATCTCTTTTGCTTTGGCTAAATAAGGCGCTTTTCTGGCGTCAGCTTGAGAGGTCTTCAAATCAACAAGAGTGTCGGCAAGAGTGATATATGTGTCTTCTCTTTCAGAGTTGAATTTTTCCAAATCATTTTCAAAATCGGAAGTTATCGACTTTAATTTGTCAAGTACTAATATGCATTTTTCATAAATCTTTTCTCGTCTCTGGAAATTCTCATCAAGCTGGTCAAAAGCATTTTCGGCAATTTTGATCCGTTCATCAATGGGTTTTGTTTTGTCGTCCGTGTACAACACGCGGCGGCGGGTTTGTGATAGTAGTGCAATTTCATTTTTGCAACCCTGGCAAAGCGTAATGATTGTGTCTAAATCGGAATTCATATTAATTAATTGTTATTAATTGTATAAATTTAAAAAAAATAAATGATTTTTATTAATTCAATTGGTCTTAAATTAATCAACAAATTCGTAATACAGTATGGTTATTTTTTTCTTATGTGAAACTATACCTTATGCAAAAAAACTGTTATAATGTATAATTATTTTATAATATAAAAAATTTTTTGGTTCTTCGAAAAATTAGTAAAAATAACACAAAATGGATTTAAAAAAACAAATGATATCAATTCTGTTGTTGTTAGTCGAATATAACCACAAATAATCTACAATAAATTAAAATTAAAATTATAATAAAAAATATTAATCATGTTTATTATATTTGATATGTTGTGATAAATATCATGTTCATAGTAGTTTATAATAAAACATATGCTATTTAATAAAATTTAACAATTAGATTGATATAAAAATTGTTATAATTATTCAATTTACAATTGTAAAGATCAATAAGCATCGTAAGAGTGTGGTCGTTTTAAAACGATTATCAATGACATTTTTTTTATTGTTTTAAACACTTGCCACATTTAAAAACTGGTGGAGTAAATAACATCAAACGCGAGTTTGTTAATATCGTTCGTGACAATCTTTTTTGTGCAATTGTATTTACTTCATTTCATTTAAAGATATTTGTGGATAATTCTGAAAATTACTTAAATTTGTAAGTGTTGTATTTTGATTATTGTTTTGGTTACTTGTTGTTAAAAGTAATTGTGTTACCATTTAAACACTGTTTGTGTTGTTTGTGTGTTGAGTGGTTGTAGTAAGTTGTGGGTTGTGATTGTTTGGCATTTGTTGTATACTTGGTGCACAATGTGTAACATTTACAGTTTGGCGGAATAGTAATGGTCTTAAATGAAAACGTAAAAAAGAGATTGACCTGCGTTGTTGGCCATTTTCATTAATTTATGAGGTGTGATTCGACATCAAATATTTTTTATGTTTTTATGTTTTTTGTGTATTATTCTTGTTAAAAATGATGATTATTACATTGAAGGGGGGATAAAAAACCGCTTCCGCTTAAAAACCGATTCTTTCAAAAAAATAGTTTTTTGTTAAGTTAATTATAATTAAATTTATAGTTTATTTTTTTCATGTTTCAACAATAAAAAGAAAAAATTCAGGGTTTTTTATTCAAACAATATTTTACAAAATGAAAGTAGCCTTTTTATTTTTTTGTGAAAATTTTTTATTACAGAAAAAAAGCAAAGTTTGCCGAAGCCATAAACCGAGACTATTAAAAGTAGCAAGCAAAAGTTTATTTTGAGGACAATTAATTACATAAAAACGAAAATAAAATGTTACACACCAAAAATTATTTTGAATTGTTTTTCAAACTCTTTTTCGATTTTTTGTTAGAATACAAAAATTAATAAATTTTGAACCTATGAGTGCACCTTTTTTCACACCCCCTTTATTTTCCTCTAATTTTTTTCATTGTTTTTTAAGAGTAGAATCGATGATACTCGTGGTGGTTATAAACATACTCAAGAATAAAATTTTATGTTCTAACAGAGTTTGATCATATTTTATAATGATATACCTACATTTTTGTATCAGAAGATAAATGCACCTTTTTTCCATCACCCCTACAAATTTATTCCTCAATTAATCAAAAGTGCGTTTTATGGCCAAATTAAAATATTTTATATTGGCAAGTTCCAAGTGAAGATGTTTGAATTCCCCATTCCCAACTCTTTTTCAAGTTAATGTTGAGTATTGTATGTACGATGCATCTTCAAGTGTGTGAACAATTTTTTAATAAATTATGACTAAAAACGAAGCAAAACAATAAATATGGTAATTTTCAATAAAATTTAAAGGACAAAATGATGGAAGCGGGTTTTAAGACGCTTGGATGCCGATATATTTTTTTCTGTGTTTTTTGATAAAATTTAAAAACTTTTCAATTATTTTACAAAACCGGTCTTTTTGGTATTATTTTAGTGTTGTTCATTTTTGATTTGGTATG